GCTGTCATGTGGGTGTTGGGAGTTGATGACCTCTCAAGAGCAGCCAGTGCTCTTTACCACCGAGCCATCTAGACAGTCACCTCTTCTTTTTCTCTTTACATAACTCTTCATTGACTCTGGAAATTCCACATCATGCACCCCAATCCTGCTTACCTCCCAGCCCCTCTGTATCTGCCCCACACCCCTGCAGCATGCCCCCCATAATTAAAAACAAAACAAACGAACAACCCACCTCGCTCCTCCATCCTTCCTACACCTCTTCCTTCATCCTAGCGGCATCGGGAGCTGTGGTGTGCCACACAGTCCACCCTTTTGTCCAACCAGCCCCACCCCCAAAAACGTTCACTGCAATGAGCCATCGGCTGGTTCAAGGCCTCTGGCACATCGTCATCACTGGGCCCTCACTAAAACCCCCTCAGACATCCCACTGCTGCCCCAAGTCATGGCGATCCTGTGGAATGTCCCTTCACACTCCAGCAGGTCACAGATGAGGCAGATATTAGGGAGAGGGGGGCAACCAAGGCCCGGGATGTGGGTCTGGGTGGTAGCTGAGATGGTTGGTCGGGGCCACTGGGACTGCCCTCCTCAGGTGAGGGGCAGAGCCAGCTCTCCTAGGTCCATGCCATCAGGGCCACCATCTGTGGTGAGGAGTGGGGCCATCTCTCTTGAGTCCGGGGTTCAGCTCTCCCGTGGGGGGTGGGGCAGCTCTCCTGATGCAGTGTCCATCGAGCAACAAGGCCAGCTATCCTGGGGCCAGTGAGGGGCCGGGCTTGCTCAGCACGACCCTGAGGTTTCAACACGCATGACTCCTATGACCCCCGGTGGTAACATGAGCCATGGACATCAGGCCAGATCCTGGCTGCTGTTGAGGAATGGATCCAGACATGGCCATGGCAGTAGCCCAGGCCCAGATGACACCATGGCCCTTTGTGGCTGTGCAAGCCCCCCAGATCAGCATGGTCCTCAGACACCAGCATGGTCATAGGTTGCAGCCTGGAACCCTGGAATCTGTGTGGCCTTTGGTGGTAAATGGGCCATGGACATCAACACAGACCCCAGCTGTGGTAGGACCATGGACCCAGATGTGGTCCTCAGTATCAGCCTGGGCTTGGATGTCACCATGGCCCCAGGTGGCAGTGCAGGCCACTCAGATTGGCATGGTCTCTGTGGCAGTGGGGTCCTCGGACACCAACATGGCCCCAAGTGGTGGCCCAGATCCCTGGCATCAGCACTTCCTTCAACAGTACCAGGAGCCACGGACATCAACATAGACCCTGGCTGCAGTAGGGCCACAGACCCAGACATGGCCTTCAGCAGCATCCCTGGCTCAAATAACACTATGGTGGCAGTAAGGGCCACTCAGATTGGCGTGGCCCCGGTGGTAACATGGCCCTCAGGTGCAACATGGCCATAGGTTGCAGTCTATACCCCAGGCATCGTGTGGCCTTTGGTGGCACCATGGACCCCCAATCACCTCTTAACAATATCACAGTGGCAATGAACTTTGAACCTGGGTCTTAGAGGGAAAGCAGCATTGAGTATGGTAACCATGGTAACGAATGAAACTGCATGAAAGCCAGAGGGCTGCCCTCCATCAAGGCAGGTCCAGCTCTCGCCATCTCACAATAGCAGATGCTAGAGCCAGAGTGCTGCTGTTCTGTGTTCTATTTTGCAGTTCTGAGGGCCCATCCTAGAACCTCATGCAAGTTAGGCAAGCATTCTACCCTGACAGCTGCTGCCAGCCCTGTAACCATCCCCCAGTCTGGGTGTAGCCATTCACCACTCTCCCACCCTCACCCCTGCGGACAGACCACTAGTCTGTTTTCTTGAGAACGTCACATACTGGTAATCACTGTGTAACCTGCCAGACCATGGTACCTGTCACTCTATACAGGGCCTCTGTCAATGACCCACGTGGCCATGGGAGCTGTCTGACGTGGGTGCTAGGACCTGAGCTCGGTGCTCTCAGCACAGAGCCAGCACCAAGCCATCTCCCAGCCCTGCCCCTTTTGTTCTAAGCTGCATTTCCCTGATTGATGTTTAGTGGTATGTGAGCCTTTCTCATACACCAGTGGCCATCTGTAACCTTGGCTACATGTCCTGTTCTGAATTAGGTTAGTTGTCTTATTATTATATTGTAAGAGTTCTTTATGCTGAGCGAGGAGTGGTGGATTACGTCTTTAATCCTAGCACTCACTTGGGTTAAGGCAGGATTGTGAGTTCCAGGCTAGTTTGGGTGACACAGTAAGACTCTGTCCCAGCAAACCAACAAATAAATAAAAATAATAAAATAAAACTTGCATATAGTCTGGGTATTAGAACTCAGGTGATTTTGACCCATTCTGTAAGCTGGTTACTTTTCTGTGGTTTCTTTGAAGTTCTGGTTTTTATTTTTGATGAAGCACAGTTTACTTTCTCTTTTGCTGCTTTTGTTTCTGACGTCACAGCTAAAAACCCTTATGCCTATGATTTCTTGATTGCTTAGTTCTTCTCTCTCTCTCTCTCTCTCTCTCTCTCTCTCTCTCTCTCTCTCTCTCTCTCGTTGTTGGTTTTTTGAGACAGGGTTTCTCTGTGGAACTCACTCTGTAGACCAGGCTGGCCTTGAACTCACAGAGATCTGCCTGACTCTACCTCCCTAAAGGCGTGTGCTACCACACCCGGCTTATTACTTAAGGCTTTGTTCTCAGTTGAGTTAACTCGGTATGTGCTGTGAGGTTGGCAGGTCTAACTCCATTCCTTCATAGGGAGATATCCCACCACACCTGAGTGACCGAAGCTGAAAGATCAGGAGTTCAAGGCCAGCCCAGGTGTGTAGTAAGACCCTGTCTCAAGAAAACCAGAGAGCTGGGTATGGTGGTGCACATTTAATCCTAGCACTTAGGAAACAGAGGCAGGTGGATCTCTGTGAGTCTAAGGGCAGCCTCGTCTACAGAGACTTCCAGAACAGCTAGGGCTACATAGAGAAACCCTATCTCAAAAAAACAAAAAAACTGCTAGGCAGTGGTAGCACAGGACTTTAATCCCAGCACTTGGGAGGCAGAGGCAGGTGGATCTCTGTGAGTTTGAGGCCAGCCTGGTCCACAGAGTGAGTTCCATGACAGCCAGGGCTACACAGGGAAACCCTGTCTCAAAAAACAACAAAAACAACAACAAAAAAACCCCCAACCCAAAACCCAAACTAAATGGGGAAGGGAGAAAGGGAGAGAATGAGGGACAGAGGGAGGGAGGGAGGGAATTTTCCCTCTTGAAGTATTCTAGCATACTGGCAGGATGATGATCCTAAACAGCCCATGGCAGCTGAGGGCACCCAGCCTTACAGCCTCCCTGTATCTCTGTAGTACATCTGGTGATTGGGAAGTGAGTGCTCCAACTTTGTTATGGGCTCTGGAATTTCCATATGAATTTTAGGATAAGCATCTCAATTTCTGCAAAGAAGCCAGATGGAGCTTCGACAGAGACTGAAATGCGATCTGTGGATAAAGCTAGAGGGCTGTCCCTCAAGCATTTGGGAGTCTTCAGATCCAGGAGCTCAGCCGCTGCTGTCCTTTACTTGGGTCTTTTCTCTCAACAAAGTCTTATCTTTTCAGGGTGTTAGTTTTGTTAAATTTGTTTTCCTTTGTGTGTGTGGTGCACATATGAGGGGCATATCAGTGACTTTTTGTTATTGTGATGAAACGCCATGACCAGAGCAACTTACAGAAGGAAGGTGTATTTGGGCTTCCGGTAGAGAGAGAGTCCATAATGGTGAGGAAGGCACAGCTGCAGGAGCAGAAAACCCGAGAGATCACCTCTTCACCTCGGAAAGCAGAGAAAGTAAGCAGGAAGTGGGGCAAGAGTATGAACTCTCAAAGCCCACCTCCCGCGATGGTCCGCCTCCTGCAGGCTCCGCCTCCCGCAGGCTCCGCCTCCAACCTGGGACCAAGTGTCCAAATATCCGAGCCCATGGGGGACATTTCTCATTCAAACCACCACAGGGGCCAGGGCAGGACATCGGGTGTCTTTCCTGTATTGCTTTCAGCCTCACTGCCTTGAGACACAATGTCTCACTGAACTGGAAGTTTCCCGTTTTGGATAGACTGTCTGGCCAGCGCCTTGGGTTCTACCTGTCTCTGCTCTGCAGTGTGGGGGTTGCAGGTGCATGTAACCACGGTTATGTGCTGCAAGATTAGCTCCAACTTCAGTCTCTCTCTTTTTTTTTTTTTTTTGGTTTTTTGAGACAGGGTTTCTCTGTGTAGCTTTGCGCCTTTCCTGGAACTCACTTGGTAGCCCAGGCTGGCCTCGAACTCACAGAGATCCACCTGGCTCTGCCTCCCGAGTGCTGGGATTAAAGGCGTGCACCACCACCGCCCGGCTGAACTTCAGTCTCTTACACAGACTTGTACACAGAGCGGTCAAGGATGTGGCCGATGGCCTCGGGGCACACACGGAGGAGATGGATCATAATCATAATTTGAAGCTAGGAGAGATGCCAACAGAGTGAGTGACACCAACACTCAAAATGGGGTCCCAGCTCCAGCCAGCACAACCTGGTTCTGTTACCAGAAGAGCATAAAGGTCCTGTGAGGTTCAGCAGGTGGAGGTGCTGGAAGCCCAGGGACCTGAGTTTGATCCTTAGAACCCATTTAAAGGGGGAAAGGGAGAACTGATTCTGTAAAGTTGTCTGATGACCTCTACATTTAGTATGCCTGATACATATGCACGCATGCATGCACGCATGCACGCACGCACGGGCATGCACACACACACACACAGACACACATATGCATACACACACACTAAGAAAAATCCGGGGCAGGAGGGGGAAGAACAAGGGAATCCGTGGTTGATATGTAGAATTAAATTATATTGTAAAATAAAATAAAATATAATAATAAAAAAAGAAAAAGAAAAAAAGAAAAATCCATGTAGAGTCAGTGACATATGACTTTTTCCAGAGAAACATGAACAGTCATTTGTTCATCCCAGGCAGGGGAGGACAAAGAAATTACATCACCCAAGTCTCATGTGGTGGAGCAGAGGCTTTATTGGGGTTACATGCAGAGCCAACAGCCAGGAGGCTCTCCAGCAGCCACATCACGGAAAAGCCCACCACCCAGTCCAACATGAGGCAAAGAGGCCCTGCTGAATGGACTCCCGCTGCAGGCAGCTGCTCACTCCTCACAGCCTCGGGACCTTTCCAGCCCGCTGAGGTCCCCGAGTCTGAGGACCCTCCCTCTCCTGCCTGGAAGGGAATGGTTCCGTTACCAGAGGAAATAGCTCAGCGGCCATGAACACCAGTGTGGCTCAGGAAGCCCGGTTTGGTGGCACTTAGAAAAGACTGAAAGCTTGAAGCTGGTGACCACAGGCTCGTTTACCAGCAGCTGTTCCTGCACTGGGGACACCTTCCCCCTGGCTGCAAGGAGCAGGGCATCCCACAGCTGCTTTGTCGGGCTTCAGTCAGCAGTGAGTCTGAGAAGGGCGGTGGGTCTCACTTATCACCACAGTGCCCAGATGTACAGGGACCCATGCACACATGTAAGGCACTCCCAAAGCTAAGGTGAAGGATGAAATAGCAGTGTTCCCAGTGTTTGTGATTAAACAGGAAACACCAGCTACCGAGAGACTGTCTGAGCAGACCCGTCATTCCCTGGTGACATTAGATGGAGGCAGTAGGAGTCTTTCTACACCGATAGATCATCCCAGAATACTTACGATCAGTTTATGAACCATGTGGGGTCAGGCTGCTATGGTGGTGCATTCCGATGGCGGGACAGATGGGTTTCTATGAATTCTGTGGCTACACGGTGAGACCCTGCCTCAAAACAAACAAAATAAACAAAACAAAAAACAACTTTGTTCTCCGGCACTGATCACAGTGTTCCCCTTGTGCCTTGCTTAGGAAACATTTTTTTTTGGGGGGGGGCGGAGGGGTAAATATATACTTACCCTACTTTCTCCACACTAATTCCAGACTCACAGCATTTAGCTTGCATTTGACTGTAGTTATTTGGGGAGGGGTATACTTTTGTACACACACACACACACACACACACACACACACACACACACACCCTGAGGAAGTCAGAGGAAGGCATCAGATTCTAGCATCTGGAGTCACAGGCAGTTAGTTGTGAGCTGCCCACTGTGAGTGCTGGGACTGACCTTAAATCCTGTAGAACAGTCAGTTCTCCTAAGCACTGAGTTATCTCTTCAGAGCCTGCAGTCTATTGTGGAGACACAGTCTGGAGGCTAACTAGCCTCACAGGTGTGGCAATCCTCTGTCCACCTTAGCCTTCTGCTGGGATGACAGGTGTGAGCCCTCATGGCTTAGCTTCTGGTCCCTGCAGTCCTGCCCCGCCCCCCCTCAACACACAACAAATAACTACAGATAAAAACAAGTCTGTGTTTTTTCCTGATTTAACTTTATTTTATGTGCATTAGTGTGAAGGTGTCTGGAGTTACAGAGTTGTGAACTGCCATGTGGGTGCTGGGAACTGAACCCGGGTCCTTTGGAAGGAGAGCCAGTGCTCTTAACCCCTGAGCCATCTCTCCAGCCCCCTAAAAACAAATCTTAAAAAACAAGACAGTAGGTGCAGATGTGGCCTGAGATGGCACAGGTGATGGGATTAATGGCAATCACAGCCACCTCATGGAAGGTGGAGGCTGACAAACTCCAGTCCTGGAAACATGGGACTTCTCAACGCAAGAGCAGAAGCCACAGATGAGGACAAGACGAGTGTTCCACAGCTGCAAATGCTCTGGGATGGGAGGTGACTGGGGAGACTCAGTGGCATTTGTCTGAGGACAGTCTGTGATCTCGACCACCCTGTCCAGTTGGGCAAGCTTCCTGGGCCTGTGGACAGCTCAGTCTGTAAGTCCTCGCTTTCCATATGCAATGATCTGGGTTTGGTCCCCAGAACTCACTTTTTTTTTTTGAGCTGAGGATCAAACCCAAGGCCTTGTGCTTGCTAGGCAAGTGCTCTACCACTGAGCTAAATCCCCAACCCCAGAACTCACATTTTAAAGTGCTGGGCATAGGGGTGTGCATTTATAATCCCAGAGAGCTGAATTGGTGAGCACCAGGCCAATGAGAGACCCTGTCTCAAAAGCCTTTTTGAGGAAGAACACTAAAAATTATCCTCTGGCTCCCCAACATGGACACACACATGTACCTGCACAAACACACTGTTAAAGAAAAAAGACTGGGGGCTGAAGAGATGGCTTAGGGGTTAAGAGCACTGGCTGCTCTTCCAGAGGACCTGGGTTCAATCCCAGCACCCACATGGCAGCTCACAACTGTCTGTAACTCTAGGATCTGACAGCCTCACACAGATATACATGCAAGCAAAATACCAATGCACACAAGAAAAAATAAATTATAAAAAATATTTTAAAAAAGACTGTAGCAGAAAATGAAATATGTACAAAAAGACTCAAATTTAGTGGAAGGTATCAGTTTACAAATCAAATGTGTAAAAATTCAAGGAAAACTGTGAGTCCACCCATCACAGTCAACAGGACAGGACCCAAAGGGAACGCCATACAGTAGCCATGCACAGGAGAGCTGCCCCAAGAGAGGCCGGGTGGCCACAGAGTGTTCATCAGAAACATGGCAGCCAGAAGCCTGCAGCCACTCAAAGAGAAGGCATTACCAATGCAGAATACGGTGGCCAGGGAGAGACCTCAGAGCTGGGAGGAGGAAAGGCCAAGATCCACTGTGCAGCCCCACCTCAGACATGCAGGGAAGGCTTCCAGAGCTGATCTGAATCTTCAGGAAATGGAAGAACAGAAAAGGAGACTGAGACAGAAAGAGCTAAGATGAAGGACAGCCTGTAGTCACAGCCAGGCCATCTCAGAAAAGCAAAATGAAAATAAGAGTGTTAGATATGGTGGAGAAATCCTTTTCTGTTTAAACAGCAACATATAAAATATGTATGACTGTAGAGCAACAGGTACACTATGGTGAGATTCTCAGGGTATGAAGTCACAGTGCACATGGCTCTGGCATGTCAATTATGACGGGATAATGCAAATACTAAGGTGTGATTGTGACTATTGCAATGTCTAGTGTGACTATTAAAATAACAGAGCACCTGCCACGCCAGCAGCTTCAGATGCTGAGGCAGGAGGATCTTAAGTTCTAGAGCTGTTTGGGCTATACTGAGCAATAGAGTGAGACCTTGTTTCAAAAGAAAAAGATGGTGGTGTGTCTCCATGGAAGAGCACTTATGAGAGTTCTTGGGGTCAGTTTCTAGCCTGCAAAGTAACAACACTCATAATCAATACAGAGGGATGCAGCCAGAAAACCAACAGATTCATTAAAATGGAATATGAGATTTCAAACACAACGGATGTGGGGAGGGGGACAGAGAGACAGAAAGAGGCGGAGGGGGGGGTGGACTGGGAACTGTGAATTAGTAGACCCCAGTCCATGTTAATGTTTTTTTTTTTTAAAGATTTATTTATTTGCTATGTATTCAGTGTTCTGTTTGCATGTATCCCTGCAGGCCAGAAAAGGGAGCCAGATCTCATTACAGATGGTTGTGAACCACCATGTGGGTGCTGGGAATTGAACTCAGGACCTCTGGAAGAACAGCCAGTGTTCTTAACCTCTGAGCCATCTCTCCAGTCCCATAATGGGTTTTTTTTAATATTTTTTTTTATGCTAGGCAGCGGTGGCACATGCCTTTAATCCCAGCACTTGGAAGGCAGAGCTAGATGAATCTCTGTGAGTTTGAGGCCAGCCTGGTCTATAGAGTGAGATCCAGAACAGGCACCAAAATGACACAGAGAAACCCTGTCTTGAAAAACAAAACAAACAAACAAAAAAAGATTTCTTTTTGAGTGTATGCCACATGCATTTGTGGAGAACTGCCATAGTCAGAAGAGGGGATAGGATCCTGTAGAGCTGGAGTTACAGGTGGTTGTGAGCATCCTGATGTGGGTGCTGGGAACTGAACTCAGGTCCTCTGGAAGAACAGCAAATACTTAAAAGCCATCTCTCTGACCCCAATAACTTTAAAAAAAAAAGTTAATCTGTGAGGGTCGTGCATGTGTGTGCACCATGTGAGGATGTGAATGTGTTCTGTGTGAAAAACTTGACAATATTTTTGGAGGAATATGGAAGAATTTGGACTAGAAAAGCAGCTGAACTTGTAAGCAGGTCATAATAGGCCACACCAGTGAGATCCCAGAAGACAGTTCTGAGAGCAGTGTGGGCTCTGGAGGCCCAGCCTGCCTTGGAACTCTCCATGTAGACCAGGCTGGCCTCAAACTCACAGAGACCCACCTGCCTCTGCCCCCAGTGTGTGTGTGTGTGTGTGTGTGTGTGTGTGTGTGTGTGTGTGTGTGTGCCACCACACCTAGATGGAAGCAAAGACTTTTAACAGTAACTGGGCCAGAAGCCAATCTTGTGATATTTTGGCAAAGAATGTGGCTGCTTTCTGTCCTTGTCCTAAGAATTTGCCAGAGGCTAGATTTAAAGTGATGGACAAATTTTTCTAGCGGAGATTTCAAAACAGCCTAATATTGATTATCACATGATTATTAGTATGCAGGTCTACTATGAAAAAGAGCAAGTGGGGCAAAAGTTAACTGGAGACGTAGTCTAAAGTGGAAAAGGGCACCAGGAAATTTAATGTTGGAGCCAAGGCTTGTGCTGACAGAGATGTAGAAGTAAAGGAGAGCCAAACCCAGGGCAAGACCCCACCCAGCTAAACTCCAGCTTGTGAAAGGAAAAGGCCTTAGGAATAAACAAAAGCTGCCACACAGGTGATTCAAGGGGGCCAGGGCTCATCCCAAGCAGGCAGCCAACTTGGCAGTGTCGTCCATGTGGTTCTGGCGTCATGAAGGATATATGTGTAAAGGGATTATGGAATCTTCCTCCAAGGTTAAGGAGAGCCACTGAGACCAGACAATATGTGGCCGGGCAGTTGACACATGAAGGCCCTGCGAGGCCATGCAAGAAGCAATGAAAATAAAGTCTGGGCGTTAGAGACCCCCATGTTAGAGGTGTAAGAGTAGTGGGGTGCCTGCCAAGAGCTGCAGATGGGGAGGGGAGCCAGCTTAAAAGCTGGAAGGCCAGGGCCATCCAAGTCCTTTGACATCAGACAGAGTGTTACAGGATTTGAAGTTTACCCTGCTGAGTTTCAGTCTCGCTTTAGTTCAGTATTTCATCACTGTGCCCCCTCCTCCCTTTTGGAATGTATAGTCTGTGCCTTTACGTGTTGGAAGTATGTGATTGTATAGTCTGTGCCTTTATGTGTTGGAAGTATGTGATTGTATAGCCTGTGCCTTTACGTGTTGGAAGTATGTGATTGTATAGCCTGTGCCTTTACGTGTTGGAAGTATGTGATTGTATAGTCTGTGCCTTTACGTGTTGGAAGTATGTGATTGTATAGCCTGTGCCTTTACGTGTTGGAAGTATGTGACTGTATAGTCTGTGCCTTTATGTGTTGGAAGTATGTGATTGTATAGTCTGTGCCTTTACGTGTTGGAAGTATGTGATCTGCCTTTTGAGTTTACAGGGGTTCCAGTAAAAGATTGGCTTGAATTTCACAAGAGACTCTGGACCTTTAAACAGTGTTGAAACTGGGAGAGTACGGAGACTTTCTACATTAGGCTAAATGCATTCTGTTAGGGCCGGAAGCCTGTGGGGGCCAGGGAGTGGAACGTGGCAGTGTGAATGAGAATGGCCCCCATGGGACCATGCCTTTGAATAGTTGGATCCCAGTTGGTAGAACTGTTTGGGAAGGATTAGGAGTGCAGTCTTGTAGGAGGCGGTGTGTCACTGGGGGCGGGCTTTGAATTTTCCATTTCCAGTGTGCTCTTTCTACCTTCTGCTTGTGGTACAAGATGTGAGCTCTCACCAGGTGGTGGTGGTGGTGGTGGTGGTGGTGGTGGTGGTGGTGGTGGTGGTGGTGGTGTTGACACACACCTTTAATCCCAGCACTTGGGAGGCAGAGGCAGGTGGATCTCTGTGAGTTCAAGGCCAGCCTGGTCTACAGAGTATTTCCAAGACAGGCTCCAAAGCTACAGAGAAACCTGTTGCCAAACAAACAAACAACAAATGATGTGAGCTCTCAGATGTTCCTGCTACCAGGCCTTCACTTTATCATCATGGACTCTAGCCTTCTAAAACCATAAGCCCAATTATGATGATGATGATAATGATGATGATGATGATGATGATGATGACAGAGTCTCACCATGTAGCCCTGGTGCCTGTAACTCACTATGGAGACTCAGAGAGATGGACTAAAGGTGTGTACCACCACACCTGCCACCAAAGCTTTTTTCCTCCTTGTTATTTATTTTTTTTGGAGACAGGTTCTCTCTGTGTAGCTCTGGCTGTCCTGGAACTCACTCTGTAGACCAGGCTGGCCTTGAACTCACAGAGACCCAGCAGCCTCTTCTGGGATTAAAGGCAGGTGCCACCATGCCTGGCTACTATCACTTTTCCCCTTAGGACATCAACCCTGGACCCTCAGATTAGAAGTCTGATGTTCCTCTGACCAAGAGCTCCAGGATCTTTTTTTTTTTTTCCAGTTGCCTCTGTCACGGTATTTTATCACAGCAACAGAAATAAGTAACAAAGTAACTAAGACACCCTGTCTCACAAGAAAAAAAACAGTAAAGTACAGGAAACTGACTTCCACTTCCACATCAGATGGAGTCATTTAAGGCAAAATCAATGCTCCAAGATCCAGCGAAGCGGACACAAATGTAACAGTCTTCTCTACAAAAGCGCCAGGCGTGGCAGACACAGGAGATGGCAGGTTAGAGCCTGGAGGGGTGGAGCGCAGAGAGCAGAACTGACCATCTGCAGCTGGCACTTGCCAAGTTTTGTCACACTGGGTTTAGTGACAAGCCTAAGGTCTGAGGGGCATTTGACAAGAGTGGAGACTGGGCTGAGCACAGTGACACACACCTTTAATCCAAGCCCTGGGGTTTTGAGGATAGCCTGGACTACCCAGTGAGATCCTGTCTCAAAAGTAAAAGCAAACAAGAGTGGAGACTGGAGGACTAACCTCTGCTTCAAGACTGTCAAGCTTCCCAGTGGTGGGAAGTGGCAAAGAGCTTCCGCCAACTGTGGCGAACAGGCAGAGCAGATGCCATGGTTCTCAGTGCACACGAGACTCAGTCAGGGGCTCCCAGCACGTGCACTGCTGGAAGCCCTGGAGGATGGGTCACAGGACAGAAGCCAACCAAGGGCAGCTGCTGCGGCAAAGCCAGCCACCCCTCCAGTCAGCTCAGTGCTTTTGCCTTGGAGCGAGGCAGCCAGGAGCTTCCTACAGAGGCAAGCTAGCCTACCACCAACCCTACTGGAATGAATGCTCCAGGAGTGGGTCTGTCTCTGAACTCTGTAGTGGCAGGAAAAAAGCAAGCATGGTTAGGCTCTAACACAACTTTATTACAGGGCCTGGGGAAGTGACTCAGCTGGGAGAGTACTTGCCTAACATGCAGAATGAGCTCCATCCCCAGCCCCACATGAACCAGGTGCGCTGGCACACAACTGTAATCCCAGCATTTGAGAGGCAAAAGAAAGAGGATCAGGAGCTCAAGGTCATCTTGACTATATAGTGAATGTGAGGCCAGCCTGGGCTACATGTATTGTATCCCTGTCTCAAAAACAAACAGGCTGAAAAGATAGCTCAGCAGTTAAGAGCATGTGTTGTTCTTGCAGAGGACCCAGGTTTGGTTCCTAGGACCTGATGTGTTTAGAGAACCTGGTGCCCTTTTCAGGCCTCATGCGGTACACAGACATACACACAAGCAAAATGCTCATACGCATAAATAAAATCTTTAAAAAATATATTTTTAAAAACCCCATGCCGGGCGGCGGCGGTGGCACACGCCTTTAATCCCAGCACTCGGAGGCAGAGCCAGGCAGATCTCTGTGAGTTCAAGGACAGTCTGGTCTACAGAGCGAGATCCAGGACAGGCACCAAAACTACAGAGAAACCCTGTCTCGAAAAAGCAAAAACAAAAACAAAAACAAAAAAAACACCACCAACAACAAAAACAAACAAACAAACAAAAAACCCACAAATACAACTTTGTAAAGACCTGTAGTGACCCAGAGGCTGCAATGTGAGGGCCCCTGGCTTCATGTCACCCGTGACACATTCCCGTGACAATCAGCCCTGGGAATACCGGCCGGAGGACCGAAGCTGCACGCAGTAGTCACAGACTCTGAGCCCATTTAACACTAAGTCTCTCCTTAAACAGAGGAAACAACAGAGCATAGCTGCAGTGATAATGGAGATTTTCAGCTAAGAGCAGACTTGGAACTGCAAATTTAAGGCTGCACACTGTAAGCTCTGCTGGTGACTCAGACCAGGTCACCTAGGAGTGCAGCTGCTGTTGTGGCTCAGTTTAGCCCGAGGCCCTGGGGCCTTGTTGGTGCTGGAACTGGGAGGGAGGCTTGGCCGGCTTGGCTGGAGCTGGCCACAGGCATTCCCTTCCCCCAAAGCTGACGATTTCTCAGGAATGACTGCCTGAGCCACATCCCTGCAGTCACCTCAGCTTTGCAGGGACAGCATCTCTGCAAGGGCAGTAGCCCAGCACCCTGCCGCTCAGCCTCCAAGTGGCATCACCCTTGCTCATGTTTGTGATAACTGTTTAAAAATAGTCTATAGTGTCCTCATTTTAGCTCAAGAGCTCAGGGACTTTTGACAAGATGAGAGTAGAGACTGGGTTGGGCGTGGTGGTACACACCTTTAATTCCAGCACTAGAGGCAGAGGCAGGTGTGTATCTCTGACTTCAAGGCTAGCCTGGTCTACAGAGTAAGTTCCAGGACAGCCAGAACCACACAGAGACCTTGTCTCAAACAAACACACGGGTTGGGGATTTAGCTCAGTGGTAGAGCGCTTGCCTAGCAAACGCAGGGCCCTGGGTTCGGTCCTTCCACTAGGCCAGTGAGATAGGTAAGCGGTGGAGGTACTTGCTATTAGGCTTGAGGCCTTAGTTCAATGCTTGAGACCCAATGCTAGGAGAGAATCAACTCAGGCAAGTTGTCCTCTGACCTCCACTAATGTGGGAGTCGGCAGAGTCCCCTGGAGGCAACCCAGTCAAAGCTCCCTTGCTTATAGGAACAATGAGGTGGGAGGGTTGTGGGCAGGGTGTGGTGACAGCAGCAGCCCCACGTTAGTAGTGGCTCTGGTGTGAGGGGGACACTGGGACTGCGCTCTGCTTCTGATGAAACTGCTGGTCCTCATGCTGGGACTAGAGGCTGCAGCTCTTCTTTCTGGGCCTCTCCCTGATGCCCACTCCTGCTGAAGCCGCCATGGCTCCAGCCTGCCAGGTGCAGCAGGCACAGCTGCTGCCTATTGGGAAGAGGCTATCTACTACTCCATCCTCGGGCTGGTGCCTGGGGGGACCCACCCCGTCCAGGGCCACTCTTCCCCTTCCAGCACCCTGTGAGTAAGGCTCAGCTACTCCATTCCTCAGTTCTGGGGTGCTGTCACCTGGCAGGGAATGACCTGGCTCCCTGGCTGCTGCCTCTCAGCCCTGTCCATGCTAACCTGAGCTCTCCCAAGTGTCTGTAAGGAGCAGGTGGGGACTTTTCCCTCACCTAAATCATATGGCTATGTCAGTGGGCATCTGTCACGCTTCATCAGGGGCTGGGGTTTTGAGCTGAGCTCAGGTGCAAGCTGGTTGTCCCGAGGCACCTGCAAGCTCCCTCCCACACGAAGCGCTAGAGTGAAGGCTGCGGCTCCTGTTTAAAAAGAGAAGACTCTTGTCCAGTCCCGAGTGGTCAGCCCTGGACATATGCACATAGAATCAAAGCTAAATGGACTCAGTGTTATTTCTATGTGTGTGCATATATGTATATACACACGTTAAATATACATGTGACAGTAATTAAAGAGATCATGAATGGAGGGGGATGGGTGGAGTTGGGGGTGTCACTAGGAGTCACACAGATGCATGCTCATGTATGAAGTTCTCAATGGGGTAAAATCATCAACAACAAAAGAGACCCGGGGAAGGAGAGGCTGACAGGCCTCTCATCAGCCACCAGGGAAGTTGTAAGGAAATTAATGGCTCCACTCCTGCACACCAGGGTGGTTATGGTCTAAAACAACAATAAGGTGTGTTGATGAGGATAGAGGGAACCTGGCAGCCTCATGGATCCCTGAAGAGAGTGTAAGATGGCAGCCTGCTCCTTGCATGTTAAGTACAGTTACCACAGCGATCAGTTTTGGGCTGAGGATGTGGCTCAGCTAGGAGAGCGCTTGTCTATGCTGCTCAGCATGCCAGGCTCGGCCCGCACTGCCTAAGTGCGCTCCATCTTGGATCCCAGCACTCACTCCTGGAGCCTGGGAGGCGGCAACAGGGCATCAGGAAGTTCAACTACATGAGACCCTATCTCAAAAACAAAGGGACAAACAACCGACCAAAACCCAAACCAGCAAAAACAAAACCCCCAAGGGAAAAGAAGAAAAATGATTTTGAACTTGATAGACAGATGGTGGTGGATACAGGCTATAAACACCCTGCCTGTCACTCAAATGCACAGAATTGAACACCTTAAGAGGTTTATTAGTGTTAGGTGATTTACCCCTCTAATTTAAGATGTCACTGGGTCCTGAGAAAAGAGCATGAACAGTATTTCCCAGAAGCACGGGATTCATAAGTGCACAGGCTGCTCCCATGTCCCCTCTACAGGCCGGGGCAGCAGCTGTATGCTTCCTCTTTCTCCTCAGCCTGAAGGGAGGGTTTAGTGATCCCTCTGGAGACAGGGCAAGCCAAGAGTCTGTGACCGCCCGGGTCACTCACCTCCTAGGTGTAGCCTGGTCTCATAAATCCCAAAACCTTTGCATTGCACCTGCTAGCCACCCACCTGTGGGCCTGTAGCCTCCTGTGATGCCCTCAACTTCTGCCAGACACTCTCACCTGCTCCATGCCAAGGCTCCTTTCTTTGACGTTCCACCAGGGGGCAGTGAAGGGAACCTTCAGAAGGATAAAGACATTCAGGGAGTCCTCAGCAAGGATCCCTGAAGCTTCAGTCTATTGTAAAACCCAAAGGGATGAGGTCCTAGGTAAAATCAGCCAAGCTGGGTGCCCAGGAGTCACTCACAGGCTCTGCTCCATCTGCTCTCAGTGTCAACAGCAACAGTGGACACAGTGCTCAGTGTGTGTGTGTGTGTGTGTGTGTGTGTGTGTGTGTGTGTGTGTAAACACAGTTCAATCTCAGGGTTCTAGAGCTCTGAGCCTTTGTCCTGCTTAAGCCTCTGGAATCTAGAATATAGGGTTTTCTCCTTGGGAACTCTGGGAGTCCAGGCAGGCAGGGAACCACCACCAAGTCCACCGATACCAGCTCCAAGGCTCCGAAAGCCAACTCCTCAAGCTGTGCACAAAGGCTTTTGTTGGCTCCTGCAGAAAAACCCCTCCAGCTTAGGGTGGGAGTTAGCAGAGTCCAGGGCGCTTTGGCAGCTCCATGTCTCTGCCAGCAGTGGCTGCAGAGTGACATTTGGAAAGGTCGTACAGCCGACCTTTGGTTGGACAGGGGGTGAAATGTCACACATATCCTTTTAGAGCCATAGTTTCCTGGCAGGGACAGAGTATTCCTTTCATGTGGACAGGCGACAGTCAGTTTTCTACAATCCTCTTAGAGATCTGTCTCCAACCCCGAGAGAAGAAACGAGCCTGCTGGAGACAGGACATTCCCAAGCTTCACACTCTAGTAGTGTCTCACAGTCCTTCTGACCAGATGTGCCAGGAACACCACCCCAGCCCTTCACACGGTCCTGTTAGAAACTCCCTGGCAGGGTCTGCAGATGGCTCTGGGTGGAAGCAGCACCCTTTCCTCTCTTGGCCTGGTGGAGAAGAGGCAGAGGTGGGTACGGGAACTTGGCCAATGTCTTAGACCTCCCTGTGGCTTCCCTAGGTGCACACCTTCCTCCTGGAGCTGGTGCTGCCTCAGCCCTTGACCAGTTCCCTCAAGAGTGTTCCTTTTTCACCAAAGCCCTTCTAGCACATTCCAGGGTTGCTGTTGAAGGGCAGATGGGTCATGCAATGGGTGCAGCTCTTGTGTCTCTAAAGCATGAGCCATGCCAGGGTTTAGTCTTCTAGGTCCCAGAGTCAGGGCAGTTCCACTGTGTGTATCATGACACTGGGTAGATAAGACACGGGCACTGTCTGCCTGAGAGCAGGACAGTGTTGTGTCAACATAGCAGCAAGCTGAACACACATCCTCTACTGAACCCTAACCAGGAAGATCCCTTCTAGGTGGACTTGATTTTCCAGAAGGCAGGAAGAGCCTGTAGGTGGCTATCATGGGTAAGGGGAGCTCTGAAAGCCCGAGAGACAACTGGGGGATTGGCACTGGTCCTAGATACCTGGGCCACCCCAGGCTCTGCTGCAGGGCTGTGGGTAAGATGAGTCACCACTGGCCCAGTCCGCTCCTCCTGCAGCACCAGGCAGCAGGGGAGCCTCTGCCCTCTGATCAGACACTCCACACGGCTTCCCCCTGTTTACATGGAAACACCAAGCATGTTCAAGGGATCTCCTGAGCTCTGTGCTGACGCAACAGGGTTGCTGTGAGGGGCCCTGGCCAGTTGTTCATCAAGCCTCCCTACACTCTGTGTCCTCTGTGTGTGGAGGGTGGGGTGTGTGTGGGGGGTAAGCTCTGCTGCAAGAAAATTTCAGATTTCAGAGTTGAAGACAAGACTTCAAAATCTAGCTTTAAATAAACATGGAATTAAAAAGAGAGAGAGTGCACACGGAGCCTCCAGCAGCCGAAATTAGCAGCAGCCAGCCCTGGGCAGGGAAGCCATCTGTGAGCATGAGAAGCAGCATGTACATGTCTGGGCTTCTCACTCTGGCAGGACCAGCTGGGGACGGCGGCGGCAGCGCAGTGGGGAAGGACCTGGAGGGATACACCGGGCTCGGGGTTGGGTGTCTTTTGACTTCAGGGTCTGGAAAACAATTTCCTCTGTCACAACCTGAAAACACCTTTAGACCTGTTCAAGGCAACTTAATTTAAGAGGCAGAGCAATAAGAAAAACAAAGGGGATGTTTTGTTTGGGGATAAGCGAATCAGTACAATGAGCAGGAAGCAAGGTTTGGCTTTCATCTTTCCCCAGGGAAGATAAGGGACCACTCTGGCCTATGGAACAGGTGGGCACATCCAGGTCTGCCTGTGCTAGGCTGCTGCTGCTGCTGCTAGAGCTGTTTTCAGAGTGGTCTTGCTCTGATGACAGGTATATCACTTTCTCAGTTTTCTTATTCACCCACCGATGGCACAACCCTACCACCGGCTGGGTATGTACAGGAGGAAGGGGTGTGCCTGACATGGGGTGTGCTTTCCATGCTGCCAGGGGCACCCGTATCCCAGCACTCTTAAGCCTGGTCTTGGGTATGCTTGGACTGCAGGCTGCACCCTTCCTCTGCCCTCCCCACCAACCTCTGAGCTCACTTGGCCAGCTGCAGCAGGGTTCGGTGCAGAGGGCTCCACTGCAGCCTGTCACCTGCCCAAGTTATTTAAGTCCTGCATTGTCAGTTAATGTATTCTAATAGGCAAGTGGGTGACCGAGCTGGCAGACGCAGAATGACGCTGAAATGTAACAAGAGGAGAAGCACCCAAGGAAACTTCGAGGCTTGTTTGCGCCCCTGCACTCACCCCCGCGCTACCTCCCACAGGCACCTGGAGTCATGCCGATGTGATGTGCAGATTACATAAGGGGGATGGTTGCTGGGGAAGCTACCCCCATACCAGGGCGACAGGGCAGGACGGGAGGGCACATTTCCCACATCTCTACCCTTGGCAGAAAGGCTCTGCCTTCCTGGGCCTGCCTGCGGGGGAGGCTCTGTGGGAGGTCACAGTCTGAGGGACCGAGGCAGGGTCAGGTAACATTCTGGAAAACCAAAAGATCATGCTCACACCTCCATCCACCAGGCGAGTGCCCTGCCTGGTCCCTTCTTTCCAGCCAGGTGTGCAGGCCGGTCTGCCTCCTACAGCAGGAAGCAGGACCCACGTGGCGGCTAAGGAGAAGCAAGCTCTGAATCAGTCAGGTTAAGAGTAAAGCTGAGGTGCAGTCTGGGAGGAAGGAGGAAGCACCAACATCGGGGAGAGCAAGAGAGCTGAACTGCTCCATAGATTTCAGCTCTAGCTAGCAAGGCAAGATGGGCCCTATCCAGAGCCAGCTCCCAGCACCCTCTGACCTGTAGCCCAGGGCCCCGCAAGGTCCTTTGCTCTACATTTCCTCATTCAGAGCAAAGATACTCCACATCCTTCTCTTTTTTCCTGCCTTGGAGTGGTACGAGGGACCAAGCCCAGGGCCTCAGACATCCTAAGTCTGCCCCTGTGTCCACCCCCAGCTACTGTTGTTAGTGTGTTGTCTTAGTGGGATGCATTTACTACAATTCAGGAGCCAGTGCTGACGTATCATTAACTAAAGCCCACAGTTCATTCAGAATTCTCCAGATTCCAGTGTCCTCTTCCTGTCCAGGGCCCAGCAGGACTCCAAGAGACGTTCAGTCTTCCTGTCTCCTCAGGCTCCCCTGGGCTGCAGTCTCTCTGCCTTCAGTCATGATGGGGGACAGGGCAGCATGTGGAGCACTGGTCAGGGGTCTACCGTACTGTCTCTGCTAGGCTTGGGAGGGAAAACTGAGGAGGAAGGTGCTCTGTTCAGGGCAGTGCCAGCCTCTAAAATGTGCTGGGTCCTCCACATGGCTCTGCATTCCCCAACCCCTCCCAACACTGCTCAGCACCCTAATCTCTGCTCTGGGGGCTCAGGGAGGCTAGGGGACCTGCCCAGAGCCACATAGTGTCTGCCCTGCCCCTGCAAACTGACTGGTTACTAGACTGGCCTCCTTACACCCAGGCCTTCTCCTCACACTGCACCCTGGGCCTGCCAAGGTCAGGTCTCAACCTGTCCCCCTTCACTGTGGCAGGCTATGCCTTGAAGGCCAGAGGAAACCCAAGTGGCTGATGGCAGCTGAAATAGACTTCCTGCTGGTAGGGATGAGACTCCCACCTGGAGCTCCCAGCACATTCTTGCTGATAAAGTTCTAGCCACTGAGCTGGCTAGCCATTCAGAGTGTCCTGAAACCAGAGCAATGTGCTCCCCCGCCTCCCCAAGAATGCTTCTGCCCTCTGGCCTGGTCCAGGCACTTGCCAAGCAGTCAACATGGCCGACCAGGGTGCGGAGGGAAAAAAGGCAGGCTTTTCCTGAAGCCCCAGAAGCTCCTGTGCCTTTCTGTCCCTCCTACTAGAACTTTCTGGTTACCTATTACAAAAGCTTGAGTCCGGGAATGAAAACAGAAGCCTTCCCCTGGAGAGAAGAAAAGCTGCCGGGTGGGGTGGGGGTAGGGTCGGTGGTTGAGAGCTTTCCCTTAACAGGCACAGGTCTCCCACCAACTTGAAGACCTTAGATAATGGCTACCCTCTTAAGCCGAGCTCAGCAAAGTGGCTGAGGATGGGGTGAAGATAGGGTGACAGTCTGCTGGGGGTCACTTCCCGAAGGGCAGCTTCTGCTGAGCATAGACTCCCAATCCGTGTGCCTGCCTTGCCAGGAGAACAGCTTGCTTGAAATGCAAAGGCTGTCATCCTGTAATTAAATCTGAGACCCCCCCCTTCCTACATGACGCCGAGATGAAGCCACTTATATAACGCAACTAAAAATAAGCTTGTGGAGACATACACACGGGCGCTCCCCACCCCCAGCCCGTCTCTACTGCTGCCCACCCTGAACCAGTGACCTGCAGTACTGTGGATCAGAGGTTATTCCGCCTTGGACCCTGGGCTCAGCATTACCCATGCAGAGAATGAAAGGCTAGTGCTCAGGGGAGTGGACACGTGGATTATGGCTGGAGGGCTGCAGATCGCTACTCAGGGAGGACCGACAGTCCCAAGAGAGGAAAGCCAGCAGCATACGGACACTGGTCTGTCTGTCTGTGCTTCCAGAGACTCTCCCAGAGCTGCCCATTCACTGAAACCTGCTCCCATCCATCCCAGAACTTGGACTAGTGAGCCCCATTCCCACCTCAGCACAGTACAAGAAGAGCAGAGGCAGGCGGCAGGTCTGGGAGGGTATGTTGGCTGGCAGTCGCCACCCTGGGTGGCACTTCTCACTATTCCTCCTGGGAAGATGCAGGAAGAGCCAATGACAATGGTTCCACCTGGACAATGGTTTCCTCCACCCCTGGTGGACGGAAGTGGGTGCAAGCCCACACACGGGCCAGTTTCCTAGCTGTCAGGCTGCCGAACCTTTAGGACCTAAGCAGAGTCCTCGGCCACCAATGTCATGGGAAAAGGTGTAAGATGAGGTTTGTAATGGGCTTTGGATGAAAGGAGTCAGGGAAAGTGTGGCCTCCTAACTCCACACGTGGAGCCAGTGTCTTGGCTGATCTGTGGATGCCCAGTTTACAGTGTGCCTACCCACTCAGGAACTTGAACTCTGGCCGTTGGTGTTCTTACTATTAAAGGAGCTGCTGCCTGGGTCAAAAAGGCTTCAGGGAATACCGCTGAAATATGGACTCAGGCTAGGATCACCCACTAGAGAGTTGAAAGGAACAAGTCCTTGTAGGCTGGACGTGAAGACAGGTCCTGACTGTCTCTTTCCTGTTCCCGCCCCACTCCCAAAGTAGTCCTGTTTGTGCCAGCCATCGGTCACAGTGCCCTGAGCTGCAGGCAGGATGTAGGTCCACTTCCACTCAGGTGTCCTGACGCCCCTCTTCCCACTGTGGGTTTCTGTTGCAGATGTCCAGCCTCTTGCCACATGGACAGGCCTGAGGCTGCCAGGAAGCCAGCTGGCTTGAGTCTATCACCATGCTGAGTGTGCTCCTTGGACAGAAACAGGGTGACTGTGGGTAGGCAGGCCCAGGAAAGAGCCTTGGGTTGTTGCAGAAGGGGGAGTGGCCCGCCCAGGCCATGGGAACTTTCCGGGGGGAGCCACTTCCCCGTCTCCCAGAGAGATCTCCTGTTTTTGCTGCCGACGTCCACCTCCCGTTCTCCTCTGTGGCCCCGGTCTTCTGGGGCAAGAGTGAGGGGCTGCCTCTCTCCCTGTGCACCAGATCCCTTCGGATCAGTAAGGGATCAATGTGTGGCAGCAGGGTTAAGCGGGCACTATGCCATGCTGGTCTAGATCAACAGGAACAGGGAGGGAGGGAGAAGGAGGGAAACTGTGACCAACCAGTGGCATCAGTCAATAAAGGCCCCTATTTGACAGCCAGTTTAAGCTGGCTTTCGGTCACTTGTAACCAAAAGAACTCAAGAAAGCAAAAACACAGGGATACACACTAAAATCACACAGACAATTAAAAAAAAAAAAAAAAAAAAGAGGACACCAGGGCCAGTGGCTGAAAGAACAGGAAACCAAATCTCTGTCCTGTGCTTTCTAAATCCCTCCCTTTGCTTCTTACACATGTAGCAAAGGGAACAGGAACCCCTCTGAGCTCCCTGCTAACTGAGTTCAGTTCTGACAGCCGCGCCACGGATCTGCGTCCGCTGCGTTGTTGAAGGAGTGGAGTGACCAGCTGTCCAGGAAATGGATGCTCGAGTGTTATGTTTAATTAAAAGGAAACATTCAGCTCTGGTGTTTTACAATGTAAAGCAAATAATTCCTCTATGTTCGTCTAATTTATGTAAATATTTCTCCAAAGGAACTGTGCTGGAACTCCGTGTGCCAACCTGGTCAGTTTCCTCAGCCAAGCCTTACACAGTACGGTCCTTAAACCTCCAGCCGCGGGGCAGCTCCAAGCTGTGCGGGGAGGCTCCTCCCCCGGAGCTTTCCACCCCATTCCCGCCCCCACCCCTCATTCCCTACCATACCACCCCCTAGGATTCTCTCCACGCCCCACGCGCCCCTCCCCTGGGTGCTCTTCTCAGAATCCCAAACCCAACTGCCTACCTTTACCCCTCCACCCTCCGTCCAGCGTCTGCCCACCTCCAGGACCCGCCCCATGGCCCACCCTGTCCCGAGCCTGCCCTCCAGGGTTCAGGGTCCTCCCTCTAGTTCAGCACCGTCCTCCGTCTCCACCCACTCCCGCCCCGGGAGTCCTCCCTTCCGGAAGACCGTCGGGGTCGACGCACGCCTCGCCGACTCACCTGCAATAGCGCGGGAGCCACCGGCGCACTCCTGCGGGACCCTCGAGGGCCTGCAGCCCGTTCCGCTGCCTCCCGAGTGCCGCCTCCACGCGCGCTAGCGCCGGTGTCCCCCGCGCCGCCCACACCCCGCGCTTGCTCTTCCTGCGCCACCCCGCCCCCGCTTCCCGCCCCCAGCCCGGCTGTCGCTCCGGCCCCCTCAGGCGGCTCCAGGGCCTCAGCGCGCGCCTCGCCTCCGCCTCCCAGCGGCCGGCCAATCGCTGCCCGCAGCCGGCCTCCGAGTCCCGCCTCTATCCCCGCCCTTCGCCCCCGCCTCCGAAACTCACCAATGGGAAGAACGGCGCAGGAGCGGGCCTGGCGGTTGCCTAGCAGCGGCTGGGTTGGGCGGGGGCGGACAGCCGGGGGCGGTGATCCGGGCGCGGCGGGGGCGGGGCCCGGGGGCGGGGTCTTTATGGGGTGGGGCCTTCAGCGGCTATAAAGGCTGCGGCCGCCGGGCGCCGCGCTCTGTGGTCCTGGTCTGCGCGCCTTTTCCTGTTGCTGCGGCTGTCGCCTTCCTCACCGTCGTCCGTGCCCCTTCTCCGGTCTGTGGTGTAGCCGGGACCCAGGACCATGTCGCTTTCACGCTCGGAGGAGATGCACCGGCTCACGGAAAATGTCTACAAGGTGAGTTTCCAGCGTGGCCCCGAGTGCGCCCCTGAGTCTTCAGGCCCGAGCAGGGCACCGGCTCCCGGACTGCGGGTGTGGTGGGCCGATCTTTGGTTGGTCACAGGTGGCCGCGCCCGCCCAGGGTCCTTACGCCCGCCGCGGCCCGCGCAGTCCCCGAGCACGAGTGGGCGCCCCCACCCCGACGGCGCTCAGCCCCCGCGCGCTCCCTCTGCACGCCCATCTGCCCCGGCGTCCGGAGGGACCGAGCGGTGCGGGGCCTGGGCTGCTCTGCCACCTAGTCTGGTCCGCTGCACCCTGGAGTGAGGGGAACAGGGAGCGGGGGCGGCGTGGGGGTTGCAGACTGCAGCGGTCGGTCGCCCTGCGCTTGCTTGGCGCGGTGGCACCGTAGGGCTCTTCTAGGCGCTGTTATGCCAGCCTCTGGGCACTTTCTCAACAGGCTTTCCCTTTCCACAACTCCTTTACGGGTGTTAATGGACGTGGCCCGAAGTGGGAGGTCGAGCGCGGGCAGGTTGGATGGGTGGACAGATAATCCATCATCTTATGTAACCGCAGAGGGAGAAGACTAATTGTGTAGGAGGCTGACGCGCCTGCTTTTGCTTCTGATATGTGTTAAGAGTCGCATTCACATCCTCATCTGTGAAATGACAGTTTCTCATGGAAGAACTGCAGAGCCCTCTTCAAGCCCCCTCCGCAAGCTCCCTGCTGTCATGTTATGTCTATGCCTTGAGTACGGATGGACGGGCCGTTTCCCGTGTCTTCAGGATGGGTCCTCATAGTCCTGGCCCCCCACCTCCAGTGACACAGCCTGGGGCTCCCTGATGGCACCAGGCCCACTGCAGTTCCCAGTGACATTTTTTTTTTCTCAAGAGAGAAATCCCTGCTCTGACCGGTCCATGGCAGTCCTCTTACAAAGCTATGCTTTATTTCAAAACTGTGTCTGAAGGTTAAGTAAAAGGCTTGTGATTAGAGCCACTGGTTTTTTACACGGACTTGCTGGTTCATGGCTGAATGAGATCGTGCTCTCTCTAGAGCAACAGTTTCTGTTTGTATGAACCAGCCATGGCTGCGCCTTTCTAGGCAGTGGCTTGTGAAACCCTCTTGCTGTGCTCACTCCGCTGCCGGCAGCAGATGGAAGCTTCTAGGGTGGCCCTTAGGTTTCAGCTGGAGTCCAGGGGGCAGATTATACTTTAATTCATCATTTAATAAAGGCTTTAAAGTTGTAGTTACATGGGTCTGGAGGAATCCTGAAGGTGGGTGGAGGGGCTGAGGGAGCTCCCAAGCCATGTTCGAGCTGCCGGCAAGCAGGATTCAGAACAGCCTTTAGGTTTTTATGTTTCGCGTCCATACACTCCATGGTGTACATTTCCCTCTTGTTGTTCTGTGGAAACACATGCTGTCAGGGGAGGGAGGTTTATTAAATTATTAGTCATTACTTCCATTACAGTTTGCTCCTTACTGCAGGGGATGGGAGAGACGTAATGGTCACAGTCTTTCCAAACTTCCCCATTTTTCCTGCTTCTTCACTGAAACCATTAAACAGGAACTTCCCTGTCGAGAATCATGCAGGGTGTGAGGAGTAGCTTTGCTCTGGAGAATCCCACGGTCCTCCTTAATAAAACTCATGCCTGGGCAGTCAGCCTGCACTTACAGCTCCAGGCTTCACCCACATGCTGCTGTAATTCATCTGGATGTCCAAAGTCAGAGCTCTGTCAGTGGCAGAAAAACTCTCTGGATCTTGGCACTTGGGGCCGTCCAGCAGTGGCTGCAGGCTAGCAGGCTGGGGGCCCACGGTGGACTCCTTGTGGGTCGTTTGCTGTTTGGGGCAGTGGTTGGCGCTTCTTCCGGGTGAACGTGTAGTGATGAGATCTTCGTCAGCTTTTGAGGTGTTGGACACAGGTAGGCTGCAGATGTCTGAAGGACTTTCCTGCAGTGTAGGCAGGGGGCTCTTGTACCCTCTGGGGGCCTAAGTACTGAGTCTTTGACTCCTGTGCTCAGTTCTTATTTTGTATTTTGTCACTAAGGAGTCCACAGTGTGTGGTGGCGCTAGTACAGGTCGGGCGGCTTTGGCATGTGGGCCAAGAGATACCCAGCCCACACAGAGGCACAATCAGAGGAGAGCCAGAGCCACCAGTGTGCAGCTCGAGGCTGGTCCAGCCAGTCTGCCATGTTGTCTTCTCCTGGGACATGTGGTGGTGACTCCGTACTAGGGGTTGTACTCTTGGGAAGGCTGGGCTGTGGCTCTGTTCGTCACCCGCCATGCAGCTCTGCTGTTTGCTTTCGCCCTTGCATCACTTCAGCTGCAGTTCTGAGTGGTGTTTGCCTTGGCAAAGAAAAATGCTTGTCCTTGGCCCTGCTGATTAAGAATTCAAGAATAAAATGTACAGTTTTGATTTTCCTCCTGGAAGAACGCAGTCTTTGACCTCTTTCCTGGTGGCTCAGTTCCCTTGGGAGCTGTGTCCTCGGGGAATTTCATGAAAGATGAAGGCAAGAAAAACAGGACAGCTTCATGACGTTCACCAGGAGCTCATCCATAGGCCTTTGGGCCCTGCAGAGAAGGGGAGCCTTAGGCAAAGAAAACCCCTGCCCCCACAATGCACAGGCAACAGAAACTAGAGTCTGACTGGTGTCCTCCTGGGTGGCACCTGGGTTGGCCATAGATTACTGGAGGCAGGGTCTACTGCCCGGGTGAAAAAGTGAGCATGGTCTTCAGAATAAGTCAGGCTAAAGCCTCACAGCCTTTTGGGTCCCTCTGAGTATACAGAAGTGACTTCTTTAGCAGCTTGATGAGACCCTGCTGATATGAGAAGAGAGGGTCAGGTCAGCTAATTTGTTGTTGTTTCAAGACAGGGTCTCTCTCTCGCGCGTGCGCTCATGCCTATGCCACAGCTCCCATATGGTAAAAGGAGGACAACTTGTGAGAGTATGTCTCTCTCCTACTAAGTGGGTTTTGGTTGAACTCTGACTGTCAGCTTGGTGGCAAGCACCCTTACTTGCTGGGCCATCTCAACAGCTCAAGTAGGGTTGGTTTTTTTTGTTTGTTTGTTTGGTTTTTTTTGGTTTTTTGGGGTTTTTTTTTGGTTTTTTGAGACAGGGTTTCTCTGTGTAGCTTTGCGCCTTTCCTGGAACTCGCTTTGTAGACCAGGCCGACCTTGAACTCACAGAGATCCGCCTGCCTCTGCCTCCCGAGTGCTGGGATTAAAGGCATGCGCCACCACCGTCCGGCTCAAGTAGGGATTTCTGTTGTTGTTGTTGGTTTTCTGAGACAGGGTTTCAGGTAGGCTAGGCCTGCCTCAACCTCACTATGTAGCTGAAGATGACCTTGAACTCCTGATTCTCCTGCCTCCACCTTCTAAGTGCTAGGATTATAGGCTTGTACCTCTATGCCTAGCTGAGTTTAGCGGTTTCTCAAAGATTATAGTCCATGAGAAGCCCTGGATCCTGGGTAACCCCTTGACCCTTGAGGGTGGCAATCACTTCTTCAAGAATAGCGCTACCATTCTATTCTCCTTTGGTATGCAGCCCAGCAGAAGTTGCTCATGGTATTGTGGATCCAGGTCTTGGAGCAACATGGTTGGGATTGTTCCCAGTGGCTACCTGATCACCTTCCTCACACTGTGGCTGTTGGCAGAAAGCTGGCCTGGCCATGCTGTAGCCATCCAAGAAGGTAGCACGTACCAAAAGTTTCCTGGAGCCGTTGAGCTGAACACTTATATTATGATTGGTCAAGTCTGGCAGGGAGGATTTCCCCACCATTCCTCCTACATCCCTCTCACTTCTCTAGAAGGATGTTTTGGGAAACTATGGAAGTGTGGCACCATAACCTCTCTGCTAAACCAAAGTGATACCCTTCCCTTGTTTTTAGAAGGGTGGCCTGGGTAGTGACAGTGAAGTGGAGTTTCTCAGACACTAACTGTCAGTGTGTGTCTGCTGAGAGGAGAGAGGCCACAGTGCTGTGTTCTTTTCTATGTGCACACGTGTATTATAGGTACTTCCGGGGCCGGCCTGTCAGTAGGGAGGCT